CTTACGAGAGAGCATGCTCTCATTCAGGTGTTCGTCGGAGGTCTTCCTAAGGATGTTGATGAGCATGACCTGTTGTCCATGATAGAGTAATACCATCATCTGAGCTCTTCGTGGGCACTCTTTGTTCATGGACAGGCCTGTACAAGGGGACGTAGTGTGTGATGTGAAGGTGGTGAGGAAGAATGGTAATTCTGATGGAGCCGCCTTCGTCGAGTTCATCACTCCTGAGCAAGCCGTAATAGAGCTCGGCCTCGCTAGCCGTGGTGATTTGTATTATTACAGCAAGAGTTTATGAAGATGTACGGGAGCGGTCAGCAGGCGAACCTTCGTGGTCGGCCTATCGTTCTGAGACTGGATTGGCCGAAGCCCCAAGGTAGCACTATCGGATCAAGGCTTGACCCAAGAGTCTATGATAGCAGCCCCGCCTGCTCACTCTTCGGCTAAGGGTGGTGCTCCCGAAACGAAGGAACATGGAAGGTCTCGGTCTATGGATACTGTTAAAGCGACAGCGGATAGGAGTGAGTGATTCATAGCATTTGATGGTGACCCCTCGAACGATTGGAAATGAGCAGGCCCTATCGCTTCTACATCGGCTTCACAGAGTCCTAAGAAGGACGAAAGGTCATTGGCGTCGATCAGCGCTGCTGTGGCGGCAGCTACTGTTGCAGCGATGGAGAGCTCGGGCCACATGAGTGAAGCGGTAGGTAGCTTGTTACTGAGACGTGTATGTTCTATAGTCAATTCTACTTGATAACCGCTGAGCTCATCCTGGGCCCCCTGAAATTTCATGCGAGTAATGCCTCTAGTGTGTGCTCTGGATCATATATGAATGCGAGGAAAGTCGGGTTTAGGAAGTTGCGAAGGTGCGGTATGTGGCTATGTTCAGAACCTTGCTTCGATCATCGCGGCTGCGACTGCTGCTGCCGCGGCTACTGCCAAGCAACGTGTCGCTTCAGCAACAGCTAGCGATACTACCAGAAACGATACCAGGGTGAAGCTAGGCTCTCCTTGTTTTTTGAGAGATGTTTCCTTGGCAGATGAGTCGCTCTCAAGCTAAAATGTCGTCGACTATGGGGACTGCAGGAGCGTTGAGACTAGGCCGTACGGGAAACAGTGCTGAGGTACTCATTTAGTACTACTAGCATTGATCGAGTGCACCACTTTAGGGTGATAGTATTCCTCTGGATAGCACTGGCCGGCCTTCTCGACAAATTCCCTGGGATGATGGTAATCGCTGGATCTATGTATGACTACGAGTAAGATCATTTTCAGGTCGGGATGGTATGAACTTGATGGGTATGGCAGGCGAAGACGGTAGTGCATATTGTTAGCATCGTTTAGAGGTATCGTCTAAGGTCCGTCACGAACCCTCTTCATCTCGGGTTTGCCCACAAGCTTCTTCCTCGAAGATGTGGTCGCGATGTTCAAGCTGTTCGGCCCTATGCGCGACGTGAGTCTATTGCAGTGCGACCTTATAGGGGCGCATTGCCGTGACTAGGTCCAACTGGTGTCGTTCCCGCCTGGATGTGCTGTGGTCACATTTGACTCGGAGCAAGATGCGGAACGAGCTCGGTTGACCTGTGATAACTTCACCTTCGAACGTGGGTTGCGTCCTCATCGATCTCCGTTGGTCACCTTTTTGTATTGGCAGAAACCGGCCGAAGGCTCTCTGTGAGACCCATGGCTGTCGACTCGCCTGACTCATATGAGATGCTCAACAGAGGGTCCTCAGCGAGGCAGTATACGCATCGCAAGGTGAGTTTGTTACTGTGGCTATCGATAATGTGTGCTGTAGGAAAATCCGTCGTGTTTTGGCGGTAGAAGGATGCGACGACATCCAGAAGAAACTAGTCTCCTCGTGTTCAGAGTAGGCATGCATCGGACTCATTTTTTTAGTCATGGTATTGGTCTTTGATTGCTCAGGTTCCATCTACCACGGATGAGACTGAGATCGCTGGAGTGTTCTCAGAATTTGGTCATGTCAATTCGGCACACATCATATCTTCACGGAGGTAGCTCTCGAGACTCTAATTTTGTGGCGCGTGACGATATTGTCCGATTCAGCCTTGGTATTGTGTCGTTCAACACTATGGAGGAAGCTGTTAATGCAATGACCACCGTGAATCTGCGAATGTCCAGCGGTGACGATCGAGTACGATCCCGCCCCCACTGTGTTGGTACCGAACCACTCCTTTTTGTGTTTTGCAAGGTTCCCATCCATTGGCTCGCATCCGGTGTGCATGTTGAGCTGGACAGTCCGGTCCAGGACGAGTAAGGCGTTCCAGGGTTGGCATCATCTCATCATTCTGTTGCTGCTCAGCGTGGACACTACCCATGCCAGTTATTGGGGCTATCAACAACAATCATCGTCACTTGGTCGCAGTCAGCCGTCTGGCCAACGACAGCCATTAGTTCAGTCGAGTACCACCACCTCTGATAATGATCCGTCTATGTACTGGAAAGCCGCTGGTGCAGCTACTATGGCTCCCCATCGTGACTCTTTCAGTAGCTAGGTGTCGTTGCACGATGTATTTCCGCTGAGTAGTAGTATTACTTGATTATCGTAATCAACCGTCGAGAACGGTTACTCTCCTACAGCACTTGGTTGGTATCAGTAGTCTGCACAAGTTACTGCTGACTATCCGCTGCTACCATCTCCTGCTGTAATTCATATCGTATCAGTAT